CATATGTGGTGAATTTGATATTCCAGTCATCCTCCTTTTTTGATTTGCTTTTAGTCTTTGTGTGCATATTTGATTTTTAGGAAAAATTAATGGCATTTTCAAGTAGGATTCAAATATAAATTAAGGCAGCATATATGCAAGTATGAGATCAGTGTTGTTAAGATGTAGTGTCTGGAAAATTTTCCTCTTGTTTTTACTGCAGAAGATCAATCTACTAGGTGAAATCTTGAGAAAATAAAATGGCAAATGAAAAAACAGATTTTGTCAAGAAAAAGAGAAAAAAAAAACATTGCAGGTACCTAAAATGCTCATTTAAAGACACTGCTAAGATTTAGAAAGTTTTTGTGATTCAGCTATTATGAAAGTTGAAGAGATCATTCTGTAGGAGGTTAAGATACTAGTCAAGTCAGCCTACTTGTTTTTTCATAGTTCTCTCTTCCCTTCACACCTTCTTCCTTGGCATGTTAATGTTTTCTGAAACAATCTTACTTCATTATCACGCTGCTACCCTAAACACAATGTAAACAAGTGAAAACAAGTGAAGAAGGGTGTTTCAGAATCTAAAGGATTATGACTGCATAATTTTGTGTTAATTTTTCTTTCTGTTTGAGGACTGTCTTGCACGGTTGCTTGACTATTTTTTATCAAATTAAAACAACTAGTTTTCTAGATTCCTGGTATACATAGGAAAAAACCCTCAAGGCTTAATGTTTACAATCACAGTACAAAATCTAGTCAAATATAACAATACCATGGAGAGATATGACTATTGATAATGAATTGCTGGTGAAATTGCATGTCTAGTAATGGTTTATAAAGATCTATCTAATGGTGAAAGTTTGTTAGGTTTTTTATTGTCTTCGAACAGACTTAAAAATAATCATAGAATCATCAAATAGTTTGAGTTCAAAGGGACCTTGAAGATCATCTAGTTCCAAGCCCCCTGCCATGGGCAGGGACACCTTCCACTAGATCAGGTTGCTCAAAGCCTCATCCAACCTGGCCTTGAACAATTCCAGAGATGGGGAATCCACAACTTCTCTGGGCAACCTGTTCCAGTGCCTCACTACCCTCAGAATGAAGAAGTTCTTCCTTAGATCTAATAAAAATCTCCCCTCTTTCAGTTTAAATCCATTGCCCCTTGTCCTATCACTACATGCCCTTGTAAAAAGTTCCTCTCCAGCTTTCTTGTAGGCCCCCTTTAGGTATTGGAAGGCTGCAATGGGGCTGCTCTTTGTCTTTGATGAATGATGCCAAGCTTCCAACTGTTAGAGAAATGAGCTGTAACGAAATACAGTTGAGGTTGCACAGTAGACAAAGCACCAAAAACTACCATGGAAATTTTGTTTCAGAAAACTTGTTTGCTGGATTGGTGTACCTACCATTCCACTCATTTTACAAACTCTCATGGACTAGAATGGTACAATAAGTTGTACTGGTGATATGCATGTAATTCACATGAACCTGAAAAAATTATAATAGTGTTTAAAACTGGAAAAAGTATCATTTTTCAAAAATGACATGTGCAGATGAAATCAGCCATTATCTTGCAGCAACAGATAACTCGTTTTTTTGGGTAGGTAAATGGTTCTTTCCACTGGTGCCATTAAAGCTCCAAGCCTGCTTCCTCATGGAAATGTGTCAACCACTAGCATTTTGTTTTGTCTTCAGCTGTACTACAAAATAACCATTGTTTGTTTTGGTTTTGATCCAAAAGAGGTAATTACTACTTTTCAGGAAGGTGGGACAGTCTTAACAGTCAAAATGAGGGAGGTTTTTGTTATTCTGGGGGGATGAGGGAGTTGCCTCTCTAATGCCAATTTTATTCCTGCATTGCAAGACTATGGAGGGCAACAAAAATCCTTTGAAGTGGCAGACAGTTCAATGATTTTAGGCCTGTGATATTAGATCTGGGACTAGATTAAAGCAGTGTGAAACTAGCCTAGAAAAAGAGTGAGCTAAACTCATCAAGGCACAAGTGCCAGATGAGCTGGTTTCCAGAGACAGTGCAGAAGAGGGATAGGACTGGTCTTTTTTATGGCAGAGGGTTACTAGCTCATCTTTCTCATAGAATCTTGCTCAGAATCACTCAGATGGGTTTGTAATTTCCCCTTTGGATGGGCTGATGCAGCATGCATTTCTGCATCCTGATGTTAGTGGGGGCTGGATGGCCTGACTGCCCCCTCCCTCTCTTCCTTCTGTTTTATGCTCTCTTTTTGCCTCTGCTCGTACCAGCCTTTGTTTTGGTTCATCTAATTTACTGGCTTACAAAGCGTTCACTGGCCTTCTCAGTATGATTCTCTAAGAGGTTTTCTTTTCTATTTTTCTCTGGCCACCTTTATTCTACTGATATTTATCATGATATTGTCAGTGTTGATATAATTCCTTCCAGCAAGTACTCACAACGTTTCTGTTAATTGGTAGGTTGCTTTTTTGTGGAAGTGAGAATGGAAGCTGTAGGAAAATATTCGGAAGCCGTAAGTTTTGTATTTCGTTCTGAAATTGGGGAGATTTGTGATCAAATGCACCTGCATTCACACAGATATGTGTGAATTAGGTCTAGCTTCTGAGGATGGACCTATTCCTGTATTTAAGAAGTGTATCTTAATGCTTGGTGTACCACTGGATGAATTAACTGTAGTAAATCGAGATGGTTCAGGAAGGATACTTTCTTTAATAAGTAGGATTTTGAATTTCAGGAGTGACTGATAAAATCATAACATAAGAATCACTAGATCAGATCAAAGATTTATGTAGGTCTCCATGCTAAAAGCTGACACTTGGGTAAAGTTCATAAAAAGTTGAGCAAGTGTTGAGTAATCTTGCTCTCACAATTCCCTACCAGCTTCTGAAAGACATACTGCTATGATGTGAAGCTCTTTCAGGAAATCACCAGATACGAATTGTTGCAATGGGTCCTCATTAATCAAGCCTCAGTTCACAGCTGAAACAATGAACACCAGTTATTAGGGGTCATCTTTATATTTTGTCAGGTCTTCATTTAATGCTATGGGCAGCAGGCCTTGTGCAGTTCTCAGAAATGATTGCATTTGTTTGTTAGTTATTGTGGGAACTTTTGGCATCAAATACCAAATAAAGAATCCTGAGGTATTAAAAGTTACAGACCAATTTGTAAGCTGCAGACCGAAGCAATTTCACTAGTTCAATTAAGTTCAACATTTGCCAATTCCTTTTCATTCCATTCTATATTATGGACTCGAAGAAGCTAAGAAAAAACATTTATGTTTAATGTAAAGCTGATTTGTCCTGTGCTTTACATTCCTTAGCTTTGGCAGCACCAGTTGTATTTAGGAGCTTCTTGCTGATGTCAAGACGGTTTAGCAGAATTTGGAAAAAGTTTTTGCCTGTGAAATGAGGTTTTTTCCTTCTGTTTCTGAGGACCTGAGCCTAAAAGGAAGAGAACAGATTTACTGCATTGGCTGATTTTTCACTTACTTTCTTTTTTCTAGACAATCACTAATGTTGTATTAAAGTAACTACTTCTTCCAGATCAGAGATGTCCAGCTCTCCTCTTTTCTTTCCTAAATCTTTCAAGCACCAAGAACTGAATTTATTGATTGATGTAATGTCTTAATACTCTCTCTTCGTAAAATATTATGCGCAGTATTCCAGAGGAGGGAATTTAGAATGATTCACCCCAATTAATTCAGGGAAGTATCAACACTGCAAAAACCTCTGGTCCTTTTGGGATTAGTATTCCCTGGAGTGAACTGCCTGAGCACTGTCTTAACTCAAGGGCAAAGGGAGGACTCTCAGTGCAGTGATCCTGTTAGTTTAGCATTTTTTCTATTTATATTTTCCAAGCACTGCACAGCTAGTCCTTCTTTGAACACTTTGTTCAAAGAAAAGTGATCTGTGGCCTGGGTACCTACATTTGACTTTCTTATGATAAGCCCTTTCTGAATAAAGAATCTACTCCTTTTCAGACCCTTGAGGCTCACAATGAGCAAGTGCTAACAGAAAATAATTTTTCTTACCTTTGTTTCTTCTGATCTGATATGCAGCTTTTTTTGAGTAGAAACATTTTGAACTGAAATGTTTGTGAACTATCTCACCGTAAAAACAATTGGAATAGGAACGCTATGGGCTCTGTCCGAGTAGAAAAGGAGCCTTAAAATATTTTAAACAAGGCTATTTACCACACAAATCTTCCCAATTCTGAAACAATATTACAATACAAAATGTATAAACAGACTTTAACCAATACAATGATTTTTTTCTTACTTTCTGTGCTTGGATGTAGTAAAATGCAATGTATCTTAGCTGCATTGTTCATTTGACGCAGCAGTACAGTATTGAATTGAAAAAACCGAACTGTTTGCATGGAACTTAGATTAAACATATAATCTCTAAAGACTGTGTGTGACAATTTTGTGAAAGACTACCTGATAATTACACAAAAGGCACTTATATTAACATAATTACATAATTATCTAAATCTACAGCTTTTGTCACAAGATAAGGCTAAGATTCACCATTTTTTCTTACCAAATGCAGTCTTTGAACATGAACTATTCAGGTATTTAACCCCCCCATGCTCCTTTGAAATTAAATTTCTGAGAAATTCTGCCCTTCTCAGCTATTGTAATTTGAAGGAAAGCAAAACAATTACTAACTTCATTACGTTGTTTTTTTTTTTTTCCATTAATTTGGACATTAGGTCACTGCTTATTAGGTATTTACCATTGTCATGCAGTTGATTGTGATATATTAGTAGAAACCTGAAGCTGGTTTGGATTGAAAGCATCAGAGGTGTCTTTATAATATTTTTAAAGCTGATGTGCCTAATTCAAACGTAAGTTGTTGATTAATGCGGAGATAGGAATAGTATGGTCTGGTACTGCAAAATGTAAAAAATAGAAAAACCCTCCAAACTTCCCTTCCACCCTCTCCCAAATTTTCAGCTGTTTTGAACCAGCACTGATTATCATGCAAAGAAGGTCGTTATTGACATGTGAATCTTTATTTCTTTATCGTAGCTGACTTTGGGCTTGCAAAGCAAAAGCAAGAAACCAGCAAACTTGAATCGGTAGTGGGAACCATTCTATACTCATGGTAAGTACTCCTGCATACAGTGTTCAGTCCAATGACTTCTATCTTCGTGGTTACTTTTTTGAAACAGACAGGCATGTTACAGTGGAGTAGGGAACTAGGTGCAAGTTACCCACTCACAGGTACTCTGCAGTTGTTTTTTGCCTGCCTATTTTGCTGTTGCCTATTCGTGCATTTGGTGGTTGCTGTGGGTTAAGTTAGTGCAAAAATGAAGTAACTGCAGTTGAGTAGTAACTTCTTCATCTACCTGTATCCAAACAGATAAAGAAATGTGTTTTCAAGCTACAAAAAGATATATGTAAACAATATAAATTAATTTTAATGGTTTTTAATGCAATTGTGCCTTCAGTGTTCAGTTACATTGTGTGTGTGGACAACTTACCTTCTGAAAAATACTTGAAATTGATAACAGTGGATTTGTTTTGCATCAGTCAGCATTTGATTTTAATAATTGAACTGAAAAAATATTTTCTGAAGTTTGAAATTTTAAAGGTGGAAAAACATGACACGCTTTGTTTGCAATTTAAGCTTAGTAAATGCATCAATGACCGCTCTAAAATTTTGCCTTACACAATACAGTATTCAGTCTGCTGAATGAGCCGCAGTTTCCTTTGGCATTGCATTTGTGGGCAAGCCGAAGTGAAGAACCAGATTGCATTAAATAGCGGTACCAATACAGCTACCTCAGTTCCTAGATTACTACTGGCTTGTGTTTTGTTTTCTCAAGAGCATGGAATACAAAGCATTTCCTATCCAAAATGTTCCCCTGAATATGCAAACATTGTATGTAATTCAAAGTATTATATGCATGTCAGATTCTCTCAAACAAAAGTAATTGTAGGCAGGACAGAGTATTGATTTGTGTGTTGCATGATGTATAGATAACAAACTTGCCTGATAGTTGAGGTTACTGTATTGCCAACAAAACTGAGCAAATGTAATCCAGCTAAAAATCTAAATTGTGGAAAGCACAAGCTCAGTATGCGTCTATTAGCAGTTGATGTGTTCTGGGCCTGCTATTTAAGATGAGAATTTGTGTTGACCGAAATGCTAACATCAGAAATCAATGAAGGAATTTCTGATCTGTGCCACAGTTCAGGATGTCTCTCTGCGTTTGCAAAATTACTAGTTAAGCTTTGCCTACCCTAACTACTACTTTATTAAGGAAATATGTTTACAGTATGTTCAGGTGAAGCCTTGCAGATCCAAATATTCCTCCTTCCTGCATAAGCCTGTTCCAGCTTCTTTGCAATACCTTTTCACATACAGCTGCTGTTCCCTCTTTTCAGAGTCATTCTGTTGCTTTTACTCAGTGTCTAGCTTTCTAAGGGCAGAAGTGGGTTTTCTGCTTTTAGGGACTTTCTGGTGCTCTTGTTACCACCACTATAAATTGCCAATTCTAGCTCCTGTAAATAAGGTGACATTTATTTGGCACAGGGAATAGGAAAAGAAAAGTACAATGAATGATACATAAACGAACCAAAAATGTTGCACAGCATGCAGTCTATACTCTAATGAATTGTTTTCTGTTTTCATCAAAACTTTTAATTTACAAAATATCTGCCAATAAGGAGAAAAACCTGACAGAACATTATATCCTAAATAAAACTGGAAGTGGTTTCATCCTAAATTTCTTTTAAGACCACTGCACTGGCTGGGGCACTGACAGTATCTCTTACAGAAATTTAGAGGCCTTTTGATGTCTGTCATCTTCAATGTTCTTTTCTGCTGTGGTGACCACATTTGATGGCAATATACCTGACAATGCTTAGCCTGTGTGCTTGTAATAAGTAATTAAAAGTTCTAAGCTATCGAGGGAGCTACTGGCGGGTGTCCTGAAGTAAGAGGGAGAGTCAAGAACTCAGGCATTCAGCAGTTGAGTATAATTCATGTTGCCACTTTTGAAATTGTTGCTTGTGATCCCCTAGTGCCAGAATGATAATGATTGACGCTTAATCCCTAGAAATCACTGAATTCTGGAATGGTTTCAAGAGTGAGTACTTGTAATGTGTTAAATATTGAAGTCCCATACCTTGAAGACTAATGCATGTGCTGCTTCTTAGTGAGCAAAAGTAAGGTGATTGGAAGGCTGCCTTGATTATTTCCCTAAACACTCCTGAAGCACAATCAGTGAGTGAAGAACAATCTGCAAGTGATAGTTTGAGTAGTTAAGTGTAGTAAGAGTTTGGTTTAAATAGTTATGTGCCATCTTTTTCTGCTCCTCTGAAATAATTGATTTGTTCAGTTATAACTGGGCAGAGAAGCTGTTGATGGGAATTTATTGTGCTCTTTTAAACAAGTTACCTGTGAAGCCTCTGTCAGTTAGATTAGTCTTTAGAAGTGTGAAGTTCCAAACCATGCCCCAGTGGCACTCAGTATCACTAAGTTGTAATTTTCATATTGTATCTATGTTCACTTTTTTCCCCCGTTAGATTCTGTTGCTGATGTCTTCGTGTCTTTTCACATTTTGTAGGAAATTTTTATTTGAGAGTAGTATTCTGTAGATTCAAATATATTTTTTGTTTGTTTTTAATGTTTGCTTATACGTTTGTTATTATTCTCATACCCTGTCTTCATACATGGAAGTTCACATCAGAGCTAGCACTTTGGCAGTTCTTTTTCTATCTTTGTCCAGTTATTTAGATGTAGACATGAGGATAAAATGTCACTTAATATGTTGCAGTCTCTCGGTAAGTGGTCTTTTAGGACTTGTCAGTTCTATTCCACAGCCAAATCATGGAAGCAGTGATCCTTGCCTGTCTGCAGTCAGGAAAGAGAAAAAGTCTACAGTACTGATGTCTTTGTATTTAAAATGTATGCTTGAGTAATATTTAAAATGACAGGATAAAGCATTAAAGTCTTTCCAATGTCATAATAATTGAAGAATGTTAAAAAGGCTTTGCAAACAGCTGAATGCAATGGATGCCACCTTCAAGGTACTTGGCTAGAACTGTGTTTGACACTGGGCTTTTTGATACAAAAACCCATTGACAAGGAATGAGGTGAACTGATTTGAGTGTTTTAACACAAGTCATGAAGCAGAAGTCAGAGCCTATAGACTTAATCAGTGCTTGTGCTAGTGTGTTTTTTTTGTGGGGGTTGGTGGGTTTTTTTGGTATGATTTAAGTAGATGTGAAGGCTATAAAATAATCACAATATTGGGAATGCATATCTACCAAGAGCAACAATATTAGTTCCTGCACAAAAAAAAAAAGAAAAGTAAGAAGAGGAAGAGAAAGAGCTGTGAGACAGCATTGTCATTTTAGAGTGGCAGAAATTGCTTTCTTCTGAATTGACAGGATGATCGTTCTGGCTTGTTTGAGATGCAACCCACCCTTCTTGGAGCAGACAATATACTACAGAAACAAAATAATAAATGTCAAAAGTAGTGTCTGATGCTAATTGTTTAAATTTGGTTGTGCAGCATTGTGCAGAGTGGTTCAGATAAAAATGTATCACTATATTTACTAAAGATGTTTGCTTTTGGGGTTGATTGAATCAATTTGCTGATGCAATTTTTTAAAGCTGTGTCATCTTAAAATAATGGCAGACATCGTTTTATATTTATGAGAGGCACTTATACAATTATGCCTTGTAATTGTGGTGGTTTTTAATTTTACTTCATACTAGGTTTTATCTTGCTATCGTACTAATTAAATTCCTTTTAATTGGTTATGTCGTTGAAAAAAAAAATCCAGCAATGTGTATGTTTAGAATACCAAATGTATTAAATGAATGTGTTTACACTTAATACATTAAAAATTGAGGAAAAGACTGCTTTAAACAATCTGTTCCAAGTTAGTGGTGACAGTCTTTATTATCCTGCTTTCTCGAAGACCTTCTCAGAAGAGACACAGCAAATTGTACATGATTATAGAGAATGATGTTTCCTTTCACGTATACCTGCCATTGCCATTTCTTTGCTTCACAAAAAAATTGTAACTTATGAAGGGAACATAATGACAACAGATCAAGAGATACAAGTAAAAGTTAGCTGAGTCATGGTTATGATAACTGCTTTTGTAATTGTGTATGTATATAGAAATTTTAGAAAAACTCTGGGAAATGAAATAAGTTTTGAGATTGGGATGGAATAGAGAATCCCATCATAATTCCTTGATAACTTGACTGATCTTGAAAAGCTGCTGCAAAATTTTGAAGAAGAGCAGACCCCTCAGGTATCATTTAAAAAGTAGGTGAGAATGTTCCACGTTAGTTGGTGAACTAACTTGATCTTTCTGGAAAACTGATACACCAAACAATGTTATGTAAGATTTGGCATTTTGTGTTAAAGTTGAGGTGTTTTCTCTTCGTGGTGTTTTGAGAAAACTCTCATTTTCATTGTAATTAGAGGTACTATTTGGTACTATTTTACTTGTGTCCTTCATCATCTCTACTGTGGAAGAGAAAATATTCCTCGACCTTAATATCTGTTTATGGACTACACAGTCAGTCTGCATACTGTTATGTTAACCATATTTCTTTTCTATAATTTTTGGTCACTGCTAATATTTATAGCCATATCTTGGGAGAGCACTGCACAAATGATTTCATGCAGAGATGTGCAGTAGCTATTTTTTCTCATTGCTTGTTCTGGTGACATAATATTTTCACTTATTTAAAGAATTTTTGTGTTGGGAAGGGTAATTTAAGATGAGGGAGTGAGTTGTATTTTCATACATACTTAATTTTTAGCCTGCTTTATGATGCCAAGTGATCAAACTGGTCACCATTTTTTTCAGCAGTTCTTTCTTCCTCGAAAAATAGCCTCTGAACCATTTCACCACTTTAAACCAAATTTGAGAGTTTAAGTTCTTTCAATGTTTGTGAAGATTTCGTCATGGGTAGTGAGTAGAGACACAGTTTAATCTTTTTGGTGAGAAAACTGTTTAACCTCAGCTGAAATGTTACCTTCCGAATAAGCTGCAGTTTATGCTGTCATATCAAAGTAGTTTGATGTGTTTAGGTAACCAAGAGAATAGGAAACTGAAGGCACTGTGGGA